CGCGTGTCACTGTTTGTTTCCCCTTGTATGCACGTTGTAGAGGGGGGTAATGCTAAGAAATAATGTGATTCAGGGTGCCATGTCATGGAAAAAGAATCTTTCATGTCACAAGAAGTAGCCTCGTTGCTGAACGAATCCTTCATTCCGATCAAAGTCGACAGAGAAGAGAGACCTGATATCGATGACGTTTATATGAATTACGTCCAAGCTACTACCGGCTCCGGCGGCTGGCCTTTGAGCGTATTTCTGACACCAAATCTTGAGCCTGTGTTTGGTGGCACCTACTGGCCTGGCCCGAACTCATCGACACTCTCCGGACAGGACACCATCGGATTCGTGGATATCCTGGAGAAACTGCGAGATGTGTGGAAGACTCAGCAGCAACGATGCCTCGATAGTGCGAAAGAGATCACGCGACAACTCAGGGAGTTCGCCGAGGAAGGAACACATTCTCAACAAGGCGATCGGCAGGCGGACGAGGATCTGGACATTGAGCTTCTGGAGGAGGCATATCAGCATTTCGCTTCGCGATTTGATGCTGTAAATGGAGGCTTTTCCCGGGCGCCCAAGTTTCCCACGCCTGCCAACTTAAGCTTCCTCCTGCGCCTGAAGACATACCCAAGCGCAGTATCAGATATTGTGGGACGAGAGGAGTGTGACAAGGCAACTGCTATGGCAGTGAGCACACTCATTAGTATGGCGCGCGGAGGAATCAGGGATCACATCGGCCATGGGTTCGGCCGATATAGCGTGACCTCGGATTGGAGTCTACCGCACTTTGAAAAGATGCTTTACGACCAGGCTCAGCTTCTGGATGTATACGTCGACGCGTTCAAACTCACACATAACCCTGAACTCTTGGGTGCCGTATATGACCTTGCCACATATCTCACCACCGCCCCAATTCAGTCGCCTATGGGCGCTTTTCACTCGTCCGAGGATGCAGACAGTCTGCCAACGCCCAACGACACGGAAAAGCGCGAAGGTGCTTTTTATGTCTGGACTCTGAAGGAACTTACGCAAGTTCTCGGCCAGCGAGATGCTGGTGTTTGTGCTCGTCATTGGGGTGTGCTTCCTGATGGTAACATTGCCCCCGAACACGATCCGCACGATGAATTCATGAACCAAAACGTGCTTTCCATCAAGGTCACTCCGAGCAAACTCGCAAGAGAGTTTGGGTTGAGCGAGGAGGAGGTCGTGAAGATCATCAAGTCGGCAAAACAGAAGCTACGTGAATACCGTGAAACGACTCGGGTGCGTCCTGATTTGGATGACAAGGTCATTGTGGCTTGGAACGGGCTTGCCATCGGCGCGCTCGCCAAATGCAGTGCCTTGTTCGAAGAGATCGAGAGCTCAAAAGCCGTGCAGTGTCGCGAGGCAGCAGCACGAGCGATCAGCTTCATCAAGGAGAATTTGTTTGAGAAGGCGACGGGTCAGCTTTGGCGTATCTACCGCGACGGTAGCAGGGGAAGCACCCCTGGCTTTGCAGACGACTACGCTTATCTCATTCACGGACTGTTGGATATGTATGAAGCTACTTATGACGACAGTCACCTACAATTCGCGGAGCAGCTGCAGAGTATGTTCCATGATCGCGGCTCATTCGGTTGAACTATACTGACTCAAGCAGAATATCTCAACGATCACTTCCTTGCCTACGTAGGCTCGACGCCAGCGGGTTACTACAGCACACCTTCCACCATGACACCGGGCATGCCGGGTCCTCTTCTTCGTCTGAAAACCGGAACAGAGTCAGCTACACCATCCGTCAATGGAGTCATCGCTCGCAACCTGCTCCGTCTTTCGGCGCTGTTAGAGGATGAAGAGTACCGTACACTGGCCCGCCAGACATGCCACTCCTTCGCCGTGGAGATCCTTCAGCATCCTTTCCTGTTCGTGGGCCTCCTTGATGTCATTGTCGGGCTGGAGACGACAACGCGGAGCGTAACGGGAGTCTTCTGCACTCCAAATATTCCTCAGAGTGTTGCTTCAGAAGGGTCTGGTGGTCTCATCAGCAAATCAGAGGCACCCATGTCTGTACGGGAATTGATTGTCAAGAAGATTCGGAGCGAGGCTGGGTCGGCGATGGTCTCGTCGGCCACGGTAACATCACTGGTCGACATCAGGCCATCACATCTTGGTGACTTTGTTGGCAACCAATCGTTCTGGCTCAGGACTCGAAACCCACTATTCAAAGAGCTCAAGCCATCGGAGCCAGCGAAGAATTATCTGATGATCTGCGAGAGCGGCAGATGCAGGATGGTTGACGTTTAAAAGTGCAGATAGAGGTCAATTTTGGATTTTGCTTTTCCTGGTCGGCTTGGTGTTTTCAAGGTTTTCCTGATACGTCTGGACTTTGGATAAATGTATGCGTCCAACTCCGTAGCTTGCTAGAAGGTGCAGCAATACTCAATCTAAAAAACATTAGCTATGTGGGCCGAGTGCTGTTCTGCCGGTGTGTCTTCTCACCTCCAGCAAAAGATGAAGATCTTCTTGACCGATTGAGTCCGGACCCGACAACTCAAGGATCGACAGTTACAGCTAAGACATGTATCATATTATCTGCTCAGCAAGCACTCATTCTGAAACGAAGCGCTTCGTTCTCGTCGCGGTCCAGGCGCATGGTCAAGGGCATCGGACCACGACCCTGCAGATAGCTAGTTTGCCCGGCGGAATCGCAATCAGATCGCATCTCAAACGCTGAGGACAGGGATGGTGGAATCTCGTTTCAGGTGAAGGGTGGTATGTGAGCTCACCGCGAGTTTGTGGGTGAGATCATTGTCGTGTGCAGGTACTTTCTAGCTGCAGGGACCTTGAACAGTTGAATCAGTTTCATTGGAAGCCTGGAGACTTCCTTGGTATATGGCATGGCATACGAGCATGGTTACATCGCGGCTTGAACTTTGCTTGGACGAAGATATACACTCAATCTCGGCGAAAGGCTTTGAGAACTCTTTTCAAACACATTTACACTTTGCAATGTCGCTTGATTAATCTAATGCTTCCTTTCGTCCTCTTAATATTGGATTATTACTAAAGGGCAAGCGACTGGTGGGACATTGCATGTCACCTCGCGCCTGCAATCTCACTTCAGTGGCAATGACGCCGAGGCGCGAAATTGGGAGCTGCCAGTGTACTCACAAGGCACAGGTACAACGGGCTTATCAGATCTGTGTCCTGTCGATGTCAAGTGTCGAGTCAAAGCGATTCTGATCGTGGTGGCTAGCCTCGCATCTCCATCTCCATCTGCTACCGCCAAGTCTCGGCAAGGAAGGGCACTTTGCAAAGTGCAGACGACAGCAATCCAGGCCCTCAACGTCCAGAAAAGAACATGGCAAAATGTTCTGGACTCTGCTTCTGCCTAATCGCTTGACTACGGGGTACATCCTCTGCAGAAAGTTGATCAGTGATGGAGCTTCAGGAATTGATGCATCGATATCGAAAATGGGCCAAATCTCCGAGGCAGCAAAGATGAAACATTAGCGCGGCGCCGTTGGCCTCGACGGGAGACGGTCAGGGTGCCAAGTTTTGGTGGTTAATCATTTTTCATTTGACCGGATATCGGTGATCAGTCAACCCCTGGCGAGTGCAGAAGGCCCGCTTGTCGATGCCGTCTGTATGGAGTATATTGCGTGTATGCGCAGTGATTGGACTGGAATGGGGAAAATGAATCCTCTTTAATTTTGAGTTATTAGTAGCATGGCGGGACTGGAAGATTATGTGGAAATTACATGAAATCTTGACCAAGAGTCAAATCAAATGAGTGTTTTCTTGCTATGGAGAGAATAACAAGGTGCTCCCCTAATTCTTTCAAGAAGTCCTGCGTAGGTATCATTTGTATCATAAGAATAAAGTTCGACTTGGCCGGAGATCGGAAGCGCAAAGGTCTCGCTAAATAAGTTGATTGGTTCAGGGCTCACGGTGCCTGAAACGGGCGGCATCGTGCAGTCTGAGAATGGTTTAGTGGTGCTCAGGGGTTTGGGAATCTCAACCGTCGAGAAATTAATTCTCCATCTAGTCTATCTATTTTGCTTGGTTTTACCCATTATTATTCTTTGAGCATGACGAGTCTTCGACAATGATGACAATGAATGAGAGGACAAGCCCATGGTTCAAGAGTACTAAGGTAAAAGAATCAAAGACATCTCTGTTGTGGCTGTCGAATACTCCATTGAGGTAGTGGAATGTTAGGTAACCAGGCCGAAACACTCCTTGGTATGTCAGGCGGCATTTATTTCCAGCAACTCGCTGTTCTGAAAGAATCTGAAAGAAGAGAAACCTCAAAGAATAATCAATCGAGTTCTGGATCTGGCTGCGACGCTCAATACTAGACACCTGGGGGTCACTTGTATCAAGTACCACCACTATCCACCCCTGAAGTTATTAGATCCTTGGAGTCCCCGCTCCAGGCCATGATAGTCCTGTCTCCCTAATGCCTCTAATAACGAATTTAATTTGCATTTGATTATTCCAGATCTCTTGGCCCCACTGATGAGGATAGAGTCTCCCCGCTAGGCTCTCTTTCTCTCTTGTTTCTTCTCTCTCTCGCGCCCCCGGTCTCCCCTTTTACGGCGGAATTCACTCAATTCACTAGCTGAAGCTGCTGGCCACTACAGCTAGACTACTACTACCAAGGCGTCCTATATTATCAGGCACTTTCTTTCCCTCTCATCCCTCCCACCACCTTCTCTCGGTCCTCACCCTTGACACTCAACTCTTCTTCTTCATCCTCCGCCTGTGGCGTACTCTTTTTCTTCACTCCTTTAGAAAAAGTGTCCTCACGGCTGTCGTTCCTTTGTTTATACCTCCGTCTACCAGACAGTACATACTCGGCGAATCTTTCCAGCATCTGCAGTCGATCTGCCTATTGACAAGCGCTCGTTCTCTCTTCACAATCTGCCTGTCGATTTACTTCCAGGAGAAGTAATTTGGTTACACAGTTGATCTGTCGGAAATATCGCTTCACACTCTCGGGAATAAAAAAAATCAGATCAGGAATCATGCGTTACTCGTGGTTGATCGGCGCTGTCTGCGCTGCAGGTGCTTTGGCCAAGCCTCTCGACAAGCGGTCTTACGTGACCGATTGGACTATCGTCACTGTCACCGAGACCATCACTCTCCCCTACCAGCCTGCCCCAACCTCGACCTACTCTCCCATCCAGGCGGTCCAGCTCACTCAGACCGTCGCTAGCGTCGATCCTGCTCCTGCTCCTGTGGAGACTGAGGCTACATCCGCCGCCCCTGTCCCTACCACTTCTACCACTGTCAGTGCCGCGCCTGCGTCTACCACTACGGCGGTTGGTATTGTGGAGGAATTGCCTGCGGCTTCCTCCTGGTCAACTGCCTGGACCTCTGCCTGGACCTCTGCTTGGACATCGGCTTGGACCTCATCGGCGGCTGAGACTGCGCAACCCACCACCCTTGCTACTTCCACCTCTACCACTGCCGCCGCTGCTAGTGCCACCAATGCTTATCAGTCCGCCGTCCTGTACAACCACAACATCCACCGTAGCAACCACTCGGTCAGCTCCATGACCTGGAACACCACCCTCGAGTCCAGCGCCTATACCCTTGCCTCGCAATGTGTCTACCAGCACAACACGTGAGTACAAAAGCCCCCCAACGAACAAATTGCGCTTGTTTGCTAACCCCCCTTTAGTGACATCGGCGGCGGTGGCTATGGTCAGAACATCGGATACGGTGTTTCTGCGGACGAGATCGGAGTCATGATCACCAACCTGATGTACAACGACGAGTTCGGCTACTACGATGGTCTCTACGGAGAGGCCAACCCTGACATGACTTACTTCGACAAGTGGGGCCATTTCTCTCAGATCGTGTGGAAGGGCTCGGTCTCCGTCGGTTGTGCTACGGTCGTTTGCGATTCCCTCGGCAACGTTGACTCGAGTCAGCCATCGCCCTTCACTGTCTGCAACTACTACCCTCCTGGTAAGTGTCGTCAATCTTTGTCCCTTGGAGTATGTCAATTCTGACGTGTACACAGGCAACTATGCGGGTGAATACGGCGACAACGTCCTTGCTCCGCTTGGACACGCCTACTACTCGGCGTAGAGCTTTGACGAACCTGCCGATTCCGTGGATTTCCTACTCTCGACTGTGATAAGAAGGTTGTCTGGCCCCGCAATGACAATCAATTTCTCCGTTTGCGTTTACGAACGAAGTGACCTTGACACCGGGCCGTGGGTGTTCAGGCTTCAAATGGGACCATCTCCAGGGAACTAAAGAGCATAAGTGGTTATTTCGTGTATGGGATAGTGTTGGATTAACCCATGTGTGGGACGTTACAATCGCAAATTGCAATCGAGAACCAGGATAACTGTCTGGAAGTTGTCAGTCATTCATGGAAAATCTCTCTTCATTTTGAACAAACCTTTCGCGCATTCACTTTTTCTTTGTTTTCTAGTCACATTCAGCTCGTTTGTCTACTGTGTTAAGGCTCTTGCTTGGTTCTCCAGGGAGATCTGCAAGTCCCCACATCCCCGGCGATGAACCAGACGACATAGACCTGAACGTGACTTGCGTCTGCTTCGGTTGTGAATATTGTCCGTTCGAGTATTCTTCTTTCCGGTACATCAGTGCCAGCAACTTGATCATTGAACTTGTCATTTTGGGTGTTCGCTGGAGTATGATCTTTCATGGAATGGCGCCTTGCTTAGAGTACGACATGACTGAAAGCGAATTGATTTCTCATCATGAAGCAATCCCTATTCTGCAGCAATCTCCCTCTTCTCCTTTCCCCTCGACCTCAGTAGGCATCTATAACCCACAGCTCATTAACTAGTAGTTGTAGTTGAAGAAACCTGCAATAGTTACCTCAGAGCGCTGAAGTAAGCAACACGTGACCCAGCAATTAAAGTTAGGTAGGACTCAGGAGCTCCCCGCAACCAGACTTGCATTGGAGTACTCCGTATGTTATCGCAAATCATGGAATACTGTGCTCACTGCTCCCTTCACCCGAAACGTCATCGGATGCGGAGCGAGACTAGCCCTCCGTCCATCTAAAGCCTAAGACTTGACTACTGCGAGCTAAGGTAGATTATCGACTGGACTCGCTACCTGGCCCTTGCTCCTTGTCAGCGCGAGTGGCCGATATCTATTCATGCTCTATTACTGCAGTGCACACTCACTATCATCTCTTCACAGCGTGTCTCGGATAAATCTTACATGGTGTCTTGATGATCACCTCGACTTATTGAATGACCTTCCTGGTGCTCACCCGGGATTTTTATGATTAGGTAGGTACTATGGCCTCTGATCAATGATCTTATCCTCCAGACGTCACACGGTCTATCCTCCACAACCCCGCCAATGTCAGCTCAAGAACTCGAGAAGTGTCAATCTGCAATTTGATCTTGACAAGCCTTCAACTTCTTTCAAACTGATTATATGGAGCATTCTGCTCATCTTCTTTTGTGCAGTTTCTGCTTCATTTGCTTTCTGAACCTGCATCTCTTGGCAACGCGAGCCACCTAACCAGTGTATACTAACCACTCGTCAAGCTTCTCCGTTCCCCCGACGCATACTACCAGCAAAGTCCTCGGACGCGGCGCGGTCCACTGTGGTTGGTGCAAGCGCTGCAGGCTATCCCTCTATCTGATTTACTGTAAGCGTCCCTTTTCCCGCTGCCTGACGCTATTTTTCCTTTCGTCCCCGATACCCCAGCCCATGCTCCACACTTCCGGCCTCCCGTCCACCGCGGGGCTTGTATACACTGGGATTGTTCTATACTCTTCTATACATATAACAGTGTAGCCTTTTCTCCTTCCTTTCTCTCATTTTGTTTTGCGTATTTTTGAACTTCGAAAGTCTCGGTACAACTACGCGATTATCCATGCCATCATATTGCTTGCAAGATTGTCATTATTTCTACCGCAGCGCCTTACGTCTTTTGTCCATTCCGACTTTTCTCGCCTGCCGCTACGCTTAGAGCTTTTTCCCTTAAAGGAGTGATTGTTGTTCTCAGCTGACGCTATGTCTTACTCGTCCATGGCAGTCCGTTACTTCACAGCTCCAAAGCCACTGGGAAACGCTATGGAAGCCCCCCGGTCTCAACCAAGCCTCGATGCTAAGATTAGGCCCTCTTCCGATCCAACATCGGCGAATGGCGGATCATCTCCGGCTCCCCAGTCCTCTAAGAAAAAGGGCTTGACATTTGCCAACCAGGACTCTTTGCCAAAATTGCCTATTCCCGACCTTGAGAACACATGCAAGAGATACCTAGATGCACTATCAGCTTTGCAAACCCCAAGAGAGCAGGAAGAAACAAAAGCTGCTGTTCAGGACTTTCTCAAGACAGATGGTCCTATTCTTCAAGAGAAGTTGAAAAATTATGCATCGTCGAAAACGAGCTACATTGAACAATTCTGTACGTCCTCACTGAAACATGTCGCATACAACAACACTAACATACGTCCACATAGGGTACGACTCTTACTTGAACTATGACAATCGTATGAACTTCTTCTTCATTCTTCATACACCAGTCGATCGCTGAACTGACCTCTCATAGCTGTTGTCCTGAACCTTAACCCGTTCTTCTTGCTGGAAGATGACCCCACCCCTGCCAGGAACAATCAGGTGACTCGGGCTGCGTCACTCGTCGTCTCTGCTCTCTCCTTTGTCCGGGCTGTCAGGCGGGAGGAGCTGCCTCCTGACACGGTCCGAGGAACACCACTATGCATGTACCAGTACTCCCGACTATTCGGAACTGCGCGTCTACCCACGGATAATGGCTGTATCATCAGCCAGGACCCGCACGCAAAACACATTGTTGTTATGTGCCGAGGCCAGTTCTACTGGTTTGATGTTCTTGATGATAACAATGACTTGATCATGAGCGAAAAGGATATCGCGGTTAATCTGCAGGTGATCATTGGCGACGCAGAACAGACCCCAATTCAGGATGCTGCAAAGGGCGCTCTTGGCGTTCTGAGCACGGAGAATCGGAAAGTATGGTCGGGTCTGAGAGATATTCTTACCAAGGACGAGGGATCCAATAACTCGGAGTGCTTAAACATTGTCGACACAGCTCTGTTTGTTCTCTGTCTGGACTACACAGAACCGGAGAATACGTCGCAGCTTTGCGCCAACATGCTCTGTGGTACGAGTGAGGTCGTCAGAGGTGTCCAGGTCGGTACCTGTACCAACCGGTGGTACGACAAACTGCAAATCATTGTGTGCAAGAACGGAAGTGCTGGTATCAACTTCGAACACACCGGTGTCGATGGCCACACGGTTCTGCGCTTCGCTAGCGACGTGTACACAGACACGATCCTTCGTTTCGCCAAGACAATCAACGGTCAGGCCCCGTCGCTCTGGACAACTGCCAGCCCTGATCCCTCAAAGCGGGACCCCCGAAGCTTTGGCAACGTCAGCACAACACCGCGAAAGCTCGAGTGGGACATGGTTCCCGAGTTGAGCATTGCCTTGCGATTTGCCGAGTCTCATCTCGCCGATCTCCTCCAGCAGCATGAATTCGCGGTTCTTGACTTCGAAGGATACGGCAAGAATTTTATCACCTCGATGGGCTTCTCTCCAGATGCCTTTGTGCAAATGGCGTTCCAAGCCGCTTATTACGGACTGTATGGTCGCGCCGAAAACACGTACGAGCCGGCAATGACCAAATTCTTCTTGCACGGGCGGACAGAAGCCATCCGAACGGTCACCAATGAATGTGTCGACTTTGTGAAGACCTTTTGGGGCGACAACCCGGCGGAGCAGAAGGTCAATGCTCTTCGCAAGGCGACTCAAAAGCACACCGCCATCACCAAGGAATGTTCCAAGGGGCAGGGTCAGGATCGCCATTTGTATGCCCTGTACTGTGTTTGGCAGCGATCTTTCGACGAGGGCAGCCCGTCAGCGGGCAATAGCGTTGAAGGCGGGTCCAACGGATACTCGAGCCCTGTCGAGAACGGATCGGCCATCGATTCTCCCAAAACGTCGTCCTCCATGTCGGAGGATGGCCTATCCTCAAACGGCTACAGCTACCGCGGTGTTCGCACACTGCCGCCCACTCCGGCCATCTTCAGTGATCCCGGCTGGGACAAAATCAACAACACGATCTTGTCAACGTCCAACTGCGGCAATCCGTGCCTGCGGCACTTCGGGTTTGGACCGACTTCCGCAGATGGATTTGGTATCGGTTATATCATCAAAGACGATTCTATCTCGATCTGTGCCTCGTCCAAGCACCGGCAGACTACCCGGTTGATGCACACACTGGAGTCGTATTTGTACGAGATTCGGAAGCTGCTCCGCGCCACCAATCGTAAGGCGACCAGCCCTCGCACAAGCAGGGCCCGCGAGATGGAGATGCTTGCCGAGCGGTTCCAAAACGATAATCGCCGGGGCCGGCCAGTCCGCGGCGACACCGGCTCGGTGCAACGGGGTACGGAGACGCCAACTACGGACAGTGGCGAGATCGAGGATGACGGCATGGGTGGATGTAAGTCTCTCGAGAAGATTTTCCTCTTTCCAGGGCATTTGCTGACAATGATTGTATAGATGGCTTCTTTGACGCGGGCATGCTGCTTCATGCTCTTAAAGGGTTAAGTGTCGACAGAGAGCGAGCCGATAAGCCTGCGAAACGTCGGTTCGTCGGAAAGAAGCTGCGGTTGAACGAGTACTGATGTTAGGCTCGTGGTTTGTGGGATATGACACTCTTTTGCACATGTTTTTGGCGGATATATGATGTTCGTTCACCTTCACTGTGAATGATGCCATGATTTGTGTATAGCTATATACCAATGATATTGAGATCTTTAGCTGTATTCTTCTCTAGACAACACTCGATGCAGCATGTCCTTCTTTCCCGAGAAAAATCAAGTCGCATCAGCCAACATCCGACAGCTGGTTCTGGTAAGGGTCATGTGGTCCAAGCATGTCTTAAACGTCCGACAGAGGACTTGCATACTACAGCTGTCACTTACATATAAGAAAGATTGTCATGCAAGGGCTGCACAGAACTTTGAAGCTCTTCTCTCTAGCTCTTCTCTCTGCAAGCAAGCTTAGGTGCAGATTTCACGGGGTATCCTCGAGTTCTCCAGCTGACC